GCAAATTAAAATATAATACAGGGCCGCATTATTTGGACTATCTGACAATCACTGCGGGCAGTTATTTGGCCACCCGTAACACAGGTTGATACTTCGCCTGTCATAAGAGAATAAAAATGGCGGAATCTTGAAATTTTTAGTGGAGTACAAACCAAAGGTGTACAGGCGCCCAGCAAGGCTATTGGTTATAAAGCCCAAACTGGTAAGCTAAAAGATACAGGATGTTCCATTAATAAGTTCTTGTTGTTTTATAACTACTTCTCAACTCTACAGACTATAGAAGAATTTAGGAAGGTGAGGAAGGTAAAACTATTATCCTACTTTTAAGTTCTGTCCCTGTCTTCAAGGACTATAATTCACCATAGGAAATTTAAATCAGACTTATCAGTCTCTGGGTCAGGGTTCAAATCCCGTTCCTTCCAATTATTGGTGAATAATCCTAAATCCTATCCATTTAACTCCAACTTCTTCACGTCTTATAGCAGGCGCACTTGTATAAAGAGACTGACATATCTGGTTCACGAGGTGACACTTGGCACTTGATGGTTGTGTGCAGGAAGGAAGTGCTTTGCAGACTGTCAAGTGATATCGCGACAAACTCATCAGAGCACTGAAGTAATTGCCCTTCTCAGTGCGATGATGTACGTACAATTTACAGCCGAATCTCTAATGACACACTGTGGGAAGGAAACTCATTCATAATGTCTGTTTCTTAGCCTTTACTTATCATTGCCAATAGTTTCTGTAACACTGTGCATAAAGTTTTGTACGGGCGTACTAGACAGGAATACGTTTTCAGTATATATCTGTCAGCCGGTCACAGTAGCCGCACGGTCGGTCTAAGGCATTAAATATCTTTGTTCGCTTGGACGTCGTGATCGTGGGTTTGAATCCCACTCAAGCCATGGATATTTGGTGTATGAGTTTATTCTGTGTTTGTGTTTTCTTGTGTTTAGGCAGAGGCCTTGCGACGAGCTGATCACTTGTCCAAGGAGTCCTACCGTCTGCGAAAAATGATTATGATACTCAATAAGAGGCCAGGGCCCTGGATTACTCTAAAGTCACGTGGGTTACATGAAGTAAAATATCACGACGATAGTGAATTATTAAATAGAAAGAGTGTGAAACGGCATTCATAATCCACTTGAAGGTACCATGACAACATTTGTCTGAAGCGACTGAAGAAATCAAAGAATAATTTTCAGACTCCAGTCTGACATATGTAATTTAGAAGATTCTGAAATTTTTCTCTTGACAGTGACATTAGGCAGCATCAAGAATTATCATAAATATTACAGTTTTCATTGTACGTTGAAATGTAATTTTGTTCTGCATTGTAAACATATTGTATAAGTCAGGAAAATGAAACTAAACACCTAAGAGTAGCGGGCGCGGTAGCGTAGTTGGTTGAGGCACTATGCTACAAGTCGGAAAGTCGCAGGTTCCATTCCCGATGAAATCATTGTATTTTTAAATTGACCTAATCTTTCCAGCGGCACTATGACCCTGGGGTCTATTCAACTTCTAACAGAAATGAGTACCAGAAATCTTCCTGGGGGTAAGGCTGATAACTTTACCTCCCGCCATCTGTTAGCCGATTTTCCGGAAAGTATGAGAGCCTCAACCTCTCACAACCCTGTGGGTCTCAACTGCCTGTTACAGGGATACATTTTTTATTTTTACATTGTAAACATATTAATCCATGTAGGATTCGAGGTTTTCACGGCGATGACTATGAAGAAAGCAGTCTTCTGGGATTTTGCACCGTGTATATGTGGTGTTAACTGACGTTTCGGAGGAAGGTATCGCCTCCATCTTCAGGGTAGAAGGAAAAATATAAGAAATCAGACTGGTTTTACCGGTTCTCACGGTCTCTTCGCCTGCAGATTTCTTATATTTTTCCTCCTACCCTGAAGATGGAGGCGATACGTTCCTCCGAAACGTCGGTTAACACCACATATACACGGTGCCAAATCCCAGAAGACTGCTTTCTTCATATTAATCAATGCTCTCAGTATCGAATAATGCAAACTATCTCCCTAACAGCCTGACTCACATTGCTTCTTTAGAAAGTGAAAATTGTTGAATTTTCAAAATATTTTAAAATTTTGTGAAACCAAACAGTTCACACTTCTGGAATCTCCAAATGTACCACACCTAAAAAGAATTTAAACCAGAGATTGGTATTAAACTGTATTAATTTCACCTTCATTGTTAATTATATCATTCGATCTTATCCCAGATCTTCCAAGTTGGCCTTCCCTTTAGCATTTCCGATTAAAATTTCTTTATGCGTTTTCCAGTTCCCATGTCCCTCTCATCTATACCTCGTTTTATTTTCCAGTTCAAGGAGAAGACGTGATGACTGTTTTCCTTCAATTACAAGGGTACTGTGCCCATGAATAAGCTCCACAAAGCCAAAACATTGATCATCATTTCTGTACACGAATGTTAAAACAAAATTAAGATACAGCAACCGACAACTTCTCACGTGAATTCACCTGCCCAGCTTGCGTGGCAAATTGTAACCAGACACAGAACTGCAAACGTGAGGCAGCCTGCCTACTCCCCGCAACTTTAGGTTCCCTAAACTTAAGAAAACGTTGAAGGGTACAGCATGTTGGTTATGTTGTGGAAGCCACTGAACACAAAATAACAGCACAGCTGTTGCCGATTTCGAAAACAGCCTGACGCCAGCTTACAGCACTAGCAGGAGCAGTGAAACAAACGTGCAGAGCCTGCATGGTGAAGGGAGTCAGTACGCTGAAGGGAAGAGCCTCTTGCTCATGTACCTGTAAGTACAGGGTCATACAGCTTTAAAATTTAAGTCACGGTATTTTTGAATAGATCTCGTGTATCTTCCACCAAGGAATGATATTTTGAAACCACGTAATAAATAATATCTCCACGATGTTGAGTCGAGCTCTTACAAAATAAAATATATGAAAATATGCTTATAAAATTTATTCATTACAGTAAATCCGTTACACAAAGAAACAAGTTCAATTCTAAACGCATTTACACTTGCGTGTAGCCCCCATTTTTTAAAGTTTCGGATAACGCTACAGATTAATAGATCAAATCCATAGAATCGCCATCAAATTCTCCAGATTCAGATATTTTAGGTTAATAAGTTTGGAATTAACTTACACTGCAAAGATACGGAAAACAGAGAGAACTGGTTGAGTCCCTGCTGTTCCCGAAACAAGGAACGTAAAGTCATTTGTGACGCGATAACATCTAATCGCCCATCAAACAATGTAGAAACGACACCCGCCAAAACGCCCTTATTTACTCTGCAATGAACATCTAACTAACTAACTAACTAACTAACTTCATGGAGCTTGGTCTTTCTTGAAAAACCACCAATTGTGCAGCTACTCAGGAACTTCCAAGCATTTTACGGGACCCGAAGTTCCATTACCGTGTTCACAAGAGCCCTCTACTGGTCCCTACGTTGAACCAGATCGATCCAGCCCACACCACGCGAACCTATCTCCCTAAGATCCATTTTAATATTGTTCACCCACCTACGCCTTGGTCTTCCCAGTGGTCTCTTTCCTTCTGGCTTTCCCACCAATATCCTATATGCATTCCTCTTCGATCTCATTCGTGCTACATGCCCTATACATCTCATCCTCCTTGACTTGACCATTCTAATTATACTTGCAGAAGAGTACAAGTTATGAAGCTCCTCATTATGCAGTTTTCTCCAATCTCCCGTCACTTCATCTCTATTCGACTCAAGTATTCTCCTCAACACCCTGTTCCCAAATACCCTCAGTCTGTGTTCCTCCTTTACGTGATGCCAGAGACCAGGTTTCAGACATATACAGAATGACAGGAAAAATTATAATTCTGCTTATCCTAATTTTTATGTTTTCAGACAGCCAATGGGGAGACAGAAGGTTTGGACTGACTGAATTCTTTGTGTTTATTTCTAGACCAACCTCCTTATTAGTGTTGATTAAAGTTTGTGTGTTTTTCTTTGTGATATCTATATTATCACCCCATAGATTCACATTATCAGTATAGAACAACAGCTGGTCTAATTTCAGACCCACCTGGATTTCCTGGACATTCTTAATGGCATATTCGAATGAAAAGTTGAAAAGTAGCAGCGATGAAGGATCTCCTTGTTTTAGACAATTCTGGATAGGAAATTTATGAGACAAATGTTTACCTATACGGACTTTGCTATACGTTTCGTTTAAACGCATTTTAATTACCCTGACTACTTTCATGGGTACCCCAAATTCTATGAGAATATTCTTAAAATCTGTATTGTTATGTGAATATACAAATATTCTTTCAATAATATAGTATATATAATATACCAATAGTGACACAATTTATAATCAAGAAGGTCTTCATTTCATGCATCCTGTTGTGTTACAATATATAACTTCATTTTTCCGTCACAACACAACAGCTAAGGAGTATCAAGGTCAATACCCAGCTATGCCTCACTACATGTTGATACTCCTTAGTTGTTGTGTTGTGACGGAAAAATAAAGTTATATCAAGAAGGTCATCCATTGTTACACTGACATAAATGCGACACTGGGATATAGAGTTCTGTAACAGTGTTACTGAAGATAAACACAGCAGCATCAAGGAAGTTCAAACTTGCCACTGCAGAGATATTTGTCTGATACACAGAAGAAACGCCCAGACAGCCTGGTCGTCTCTTCACAGATAGACAGACAGACAGAGAGTGGGGGGGAAGGGAGAACCCTGGGACTCCTGTACTCCACTGTAATGTTCCAGGGTTAAGTACGTTTAACTCAACTCAGACTCAAACACGTTTCATAAATATCCACGCAGCCATTCATTTTTACTATTTTAAACTAGTAGTTTGCTCCATCCGGTGCTCATGTCAAGTTCATGTCCTCCTTGGTGATTTGTAATACTCCAGCATTTACAGTGTTCTCGCATAAGTTCGTGCAAACTCATTTTGAATGTAGTGATACTCTTGCTAGTGTTTAGTTTTCACGTACCTGTGACATTGAGGAACACTTTCTTGACCCGCGGAGGGTGCGTCGCCACTTGGCACTCGTAGTGGCCCTCGTCACGTCGGGTCACGTACTTGATTTCCAGTCGCCAGTTGTTGGGATAACGGAAACTGAGCGTGATTCTTTGGTCCGTACTGTACGCATGCCGACCAACCGTTAGCAGGTGCATAGAGTCATGCCTCCGGTGCATCCATGTGACCTGCAAACAAGAGGAACTTATCATGAGCAAGGAGACGGGGAGATTTCCGCTCGCTGGACTCCATAAATGAGGGGATTTCTTGACCAAAAAACAAAAGACTCCGTGGCTTATAGTCCGCAAGCGAACTATACCGGCCGAGAGACTGCCGCCTGTTGGTGAAGTTAGTGCCAAATGTGTGTATAGAGGGTGTCACGTGGTCAGCGCAACGGATCCTCACAGCCGTTTTTCTCGGTTTTCTAGACCGGATTTCCTGACCAGCTGAGCTTATATCAGCTTTTAAATGAGAAATTTGTTTCATAGAGCTTTGTTGGTGACTGATTTTATTTTCATAAACCCTTGAATACCAATTATTCAATTATCATTTATAATTCCAGTTTTGTATTTATGACTTCACTGTTATAATTTTACTTCCACGTTGTAAGTGTGCTTCCTTCTCTAAGATTAGAAAGAGGAAAAAGGAACACCAGTAGCTTGTTCCGTTTGGATGAAACGAAACTTTTTTGGTTTCAGAAACATTACTCGTACTCTGTTAAACACACAGGTCTGAATTCTGTTTCAAATGCGAGCTATCAATATTAATATCCATATTCTTAACTATAATCTGGTTCTGAGAAAATGTGACAAGTTGAAATACAGCTTCATGTATGTTACTGTTTATGCTGCACAATTGCATATAAAAATGAAACCATGTTGACGAATTTTAGATACACAACACAAAATTTTATTGAGATTTGCAGAGAAGTTTCGGAGTTCAAGCTTGTGGACAGACACATTTTATTAAATTATACAAATATCAATGAAATGTAAAATTTTGTAACAAAAGAAAATTATGTAGTTCGCTTTTCATTTGTTGTATATTTTAAATATATTTTTCCCATTAATATTGCGTTCATAATTTTTCTGTTAATTACCTGGAAAATTTAAGCTTCAGCGGGTTTTAGGAAGTAAATCATTCAATACATAATTACTTTACTATTTAGAGCGTGTAATGTTGCAGTTAATAATATTCCAAAGCATACTGAACATAACACACCATGCGGAAGCCCGAAGCGGCAAGGCACGGATCAACGACTACTACATGAACAAGAAACATTCGCTGCTTACTCTATAGCGGCTGTGTGGGCGCAATAGTACACTAGTGGCCAATTCGCTCTGAACTGATGTTACACAACTGCACAACACACTAAACTGGTCTGTTTCCGTCCCTTTCCCCTTGTTTCGTCCATATCCTATTCACTTCATTTCCCCACCCTGGAAGTCAAAGGTTAGAGTCTCGTACAGTATTTGCTTTTCAGATTGAGAACCCACAGCGTAGCGGCGGTCTGGCTACCATCTTGTGTTGCAGATTCTAAAGGATTCTGACGATGGTCGATGACGAACAGAATTACTAGGTTTTTGGACTTTTTCCATCGTCCGGAATTCTAGATAATAGAAGACACGACGTTTCGGAAACAGATCCAGTTTCCGAAACATCATGCCTTCTATTACCTAGAATTCCGGATGATGGAAAATGTCCAAAACCCAGTAATTCTATATCTTGTGTTTTGTTTGGCAGGTACTTGCAACGCTTTTACAGTCTGTTTCCATGAAGCAGGACCGCCTCTGTTGTCTAGTGGTTAGAGTTCCTGGCTACAGATCCAGAGGTCCCGGGTTCGATTCCCGGTTATCAGATTTTCTGAGAAGTAGTGGGTCTGGAACGGGGTCCACTCAGCCTCGTGAGGATTACTGAGGAGCTATTTCAAGGAAAAGCGGCTCCGGTCTAGAAAACCGAAATTAACGGCTGTGGAAATTCGTTGGGCTGACCACGCGACACCCTCTATCCACAAAAGTTGTCACTAACTTCGCCGACAAGCGGCGGTCGCTCGGTCGGTATAGTTCGCTTACGGACTACAGACCACGGAGTTTGTTTTGTTTTCTCCAAGGAGCAGAACCTTTGCTGAGAAACCGCTAAGATGATCAAGTACTACCGCTTCATTTATGGAACTGTGTTCATAACACGGACACACAACAGCCTAGACAGGGTCCAGGCCAATATGGGAATGCTCCATATAACATGTGATAACGTCTCAAAGATAGCCCCACTGTACCCAAATTGCTATCCGATTAAAAGGGGGATAATGCATGTGAACATACAAGAGTTCACAACATCATACCCACCTAGAATGGAACCAGTTAAGAGCGACCAGTATACCAGCGAAACACACATATATATATATATATATATATATATAATCTTAATTGAGACCTTAATTTAACATTAGCTATATAACAATATTTTAAGTAATTATATCTGATATAAATATAATTGGACTAAAAAGAAGATAATACCAGGAGTTTTGTTGCCAAGCATAACTTTACATGTTATATAGTCACATTCGAAGTATGGATTCGCATTAAAAACAACTTCAACACGTAAGCACAAGCAGAACATCTGATGATGATCCAATAAGTGTCGAAACATGTCGTGCTTTAAGGTTTTAAGACCTCAGTTATATACACGCCCTTCTTCAAAAATATAAGTTCTAATATTTTCATTCTTTTAGATCTCTTGGTATTTTGCAATAGAAGCTGTTTAAGCATTTTTCATCTCGCCTATTCATATAAAATGTTACGTCATCCCGTCCCCTTCCTGAGAGAATTTATATAATTTATGCAATTGAAAAGAATTAGCGTAAACAGCTTTTACCTATACACTAGCCTCAGACTCCCTTGCGCTCACAAAATTGTGTTCCGTAGACTTACTGTACACGTAACCACATTTCGCAGTTGTGGTCACCCACTACTCAATTCACGTACGGACAAGAGAGGTCATTACCGACATCGATTCTTCCGTTGAAACTGCTGCTGTAAGCTGTATTCGGTCGATATGGCCACTCAGTATCAATAAATCGACTTTTGGAAGGAAGACTGCTGTTACTTGTCTCCATGCTGGCACATACTGACTGGCAGAATTTAATCACATTTGTCTTATTTTTTTTTTCAATGTATTATTAGCGATGGTTAAAATTAGGCAGCAAATACACAGAGATTCCACATATATGATGATTTCCCTATTTAGTAGCTTCTACTGACCAGAACATAGTGACGCGCCTATCTGGTTCAAGCACACGCTGTTATCCTTGCTCCACGCCAGCTTAGTGCAATGGGACGGAAGCAGATTTGTTCCACTACAGGGCATGGGAATTACATAACATTGATTTCATGTGGAGCTCTCAAGCACAGTTGGAAAATAGTTATTTCTAGTTCTAATTGAGAGACAAGAAAACAAGTGACATCTTCCTGAAATTATGCCTCAACTATTAAAACTGGGCGTGTATTGTATAAATTTTGATGCAATAAAATTCCTTTGGATATGACAAAACTAAAGTGACCCAACACCATCAAATGTAGTACAAATATATAATACAATGCGTCATTCTCATAAAGCGTATAAAATAAAAGCATAAATGCAAGGTCATAAATATTTGTCGAACTATGAGATTCATTTTCCAACTATTCAGCAGATTTCATTTAAATTTCGTTTTGGTATTTTATATTAAACTCGCAAGGTAAATTTAATTTAAGTCTGTACGAATATAATAGAGTCCCAATTTTATATACGTAAAATTCTAATCAAATTTAACTTTTCATGCAAACATCCTCATGTATAAATATGTGACAGACAGGTTATCTGGAGGGAGGGACGTAGTTAAGACCGCCATATTTATTTCAAACTCTTCTTAAGTGGAGTGTAAAAGAAAATCATGCAACATATTTTATATTCAATGAATACCGAAGTTAAATGGGATTTATAAAATCTCGAAGGAGGCATGAAGAATACTGTTTTCTGGGATGTGGCGCCGTGTAGATATTGTATAAATTGACGTTTCGGAGGAACGGATCGCCTCCATTTTCAGGGTATAAAAATCGGCGATCAAGGAACCAGCGTGAGCTGGTGGCTGCAGCCTGAAAAAGGAGGCGATACGTTCCTCCGAAACGACGGTTTACACAACATCTACAAGGCGCCATATCCCAGAAGACGGCATTCTTCAAAGTCACCGCCGTGAAAACCTCAAATCTTACTCGAAGGATGTATTTAAATACTCGTACATGTTTACTCCAAACTGGAAGCCATTTTCCTCCCTGGCTTACAGCTGTTAGGACTGGGACGCTTATATTACAAACATACTTTGATGTAACGTGCACATGAAGTGACAGAAGAGGAACTATAAGTTCAGTACAAGTTTGTTTACATTCTAGCACACCAAATTAGCTGGGTCCGCTTTCCCAAGCCTCCAGATACACAGCGCACCTCTGAATATTTTGAGTAAGCTCTTCTGAACACGACAACGCTGGCTTCCATGAATAGCTCTGAACCTCATCATCTGAGCCACTGTCATCTTCTCAATACGAGTTCTTACTTCCACGTCTTTCCTATCAGGCAGTACCAAATTTTAAGAGTCACACAATCAATTCCCTCGGGTCGGAATTGTTTTGTTACGCGAAGAAAAGAAGAGAGAAATAGCGACTAAGATAAGAAAAGTGTAAGACAAAGACAAGAATTCGAGATTCTGTGAAAAGGAGCACCTCCATCAGAGCAGAAGACTTCCTCCTGTGTGAACAGTTCTCGCTGAGGAATCCGCGCAATCTTCAGTTATTTAGACGGACTTACAAATTAATTATAATTAACGTTAAATCGATTCGCTTTCCCCCAAAGGACCTCGTAAATCTGAGGTCTCAGAAAGGATAGAAAGAGAAAATTCTTTTTTATTGCTAGTGGGGTGGGATTAAGTCCATTGTACTGCGACCACTTCTGGCCTATTGTACCAGTCCCAGATGATAGGTGAGGGTGATTGTGGAACAATTGGTGGAATGAAGATTGGCAGGGGAAACCGAAGTACTCGAAGAAAACCTGCCCCAGCGCCACTTTGTCCACCACAAGTCCCACTTGACCATACCCGGGAACGAACCCGGGCCGCCGCGTGGGAAGCCAGCGACTAACCGCTTGAGCTATGGCGCGG